TTTACCTACACCTAACTTAACTGACATCTAACTTTACCTACACCTAACTTTACTGACACCTAACTTTTACCACACCTGACTTAACTGACACCTTACTTTACCTACACCTGACTGAACTGATACCTAACTTAACATCACTTGACTTAACTGACTCCAAACTTTACCTACACCTGGCTTAACTGACATCTAACTTTACCTACACCTGTCTAAACTGACATATAACATTACCTACACCTGACTTAACTGACACCTTACTTTACCTACACCTGACTGTACTGACACCTAACTTTAACTGACCCCTTACTTAACTGACACCTTATTTACCTACACCAGACTGTACTGACATCTAACTTAACCTACACCTAACTTTACTGACACCTAACTTTTACTACACCTGACTTAACTGACCCCTTACTTAACTGACACCTTACTTTACTTACACCTGTCTTAACTGACACCTTACTTTACCCACACCTGACTGTACTGACATATAACGTTACCTACACCTGACTTAACTGACACCTTCCTTTACCTACACCTGACTGTACTGACACCTAACTTAACCTACACCTGACTTAACTGGCATCTAACTTTACCTTCTCCAGACTGTACTGACATCTAACTTAACCTCCTCCTAACTTTACTGACACCTAACTTTTACTACACCTGACTTAACTGACACCTTACTTTACCTTCACCTTACTTTACTGATACCTAACTTTACCTACACCTGACTTAACTGACACCTAGCTTTTACCTATACCTGCCTTAACTGACACCTAACCTCACCTACACCTGATTGTACTGACACCTAACCTTACCTACACCTGACTTTACTGACACCTTACTTTACCTTCACCTGTATTAACTGACACCTAGCTTTACCTACACATAAGTTAACTGACACTTTACTTTACCTACACCTGTCTTGACTGACACCTAACTTTACCTACACCTGAGTTAACTGACACCTTACAATATCTACAACTGACTGTAATGACACCTTACTTTACCTACACCTGACTTAACTAACACCTAACTTTACCTACACCTGTCTTAACTCACACTTAACTTGATCTACACCGGTATTAACTGACACCTTACTATATCTACACCTGTCTTAACTGACACCTACCATTACCATCAACTGACTTAATTGACACCTTACTTTACCTACACCTGTCTTAACTGACATATAACTTTATCTACACCTGTATTAACTGACACCGTACTATATTTACACCTGACTTAATTGACACCTAACTTTACCTATACCTGACTGTACTGATACCTTACTTTACCTACACCTAACTTAACTGACACCTAACTTAACCTACACCTAACTTAACTTACATCTAACTTTACCTACACCTAACTTTACTGACACCTAACTTTTACTACACCTGACTTAACTGACACCTTACTTTACCTACACCTGACTGTACTGATACCTAACTTAACCTACACCTAACTTAACTAACATCTAACTTTACTTACACCTAACTTTACTGACATCTAACTTTTACTACACCTGACTTTACTGATTATAATAAATAATAATAATATACAACATTTCTATAGCGCCCTATATCATTTGTAAAGTTACTCTAAAACGCTTTACAACATACAAATAGTAGTAATGGTTATAATTGTGAATCACTTTTATACATTTAAGGATCAAGGTTTGTAGAATATTACATCCAAAATTAGTCCTAAATATCAAGACTTGTTGGGAATAATAACTTACAATCAGTCACAAAGATTGTAGTGTGTGGGGTGTTCTTTACTCTTAGTTCTTGATTTTATTTCACATTTTATAGTTAACTATTCTATTGCCTTAAGAACATGCTCGAGTCAAGCTGTGTTTGATATGTAGTCATTAATCAGTAAACAGATAAACCTAAACTGTCTTTCTGTTTGCATGATATAAACTACGATGTCAGTAGATAGTCTACTTCATACCTGTCTGGGCTACACAGAAATGATGCCATTCATAGGTGATCAGTCGACTGAATCATTTCATTTAGTCCCCCCAGTGGATTCAAGGGCACAGTATGTTCCACTCAAAACTATGATTACTTTCTCAGCATTTCACAGACTATCAGAGTTCTCCGGTGTGTGATATTGTTGTAAGCCTAGTTGGTGACATTATTTTCACCAAGGAAATATAATATGCATTCTGTCATGTTTATCGGCTGGTCATTTGTTTTCTAAAGAAATCTCTCACCTTAGATTTTCAAAATACATTTTTAAATGTATTTTTTTCCATCCTATGATGATATTGTATAGAGAAATGGTCTTTCATGAGTTGGAAAGGGTTGATAAAAATTCTATGCAGTTACATTTTAATTTGTTGCTTAATATATTCAATAAACATTTCATATATATCTAAACAGATGCTTGCATATAAAAAGATTCATATCTTCAGAATTGTTGAAATTTAAATACAAAACTCATTTAGAATTCTGCACACATAACTCGGTATAAACAGCAACAGATATATGGAGGAGATATATACTACTTGGTTAACACATAGTAATTAATATCTCCTGGTACATAGTAATGGATATCGCTGGGTACATAGTAATAAATATCTCCTGGTACATAGTAATTAATATCTCTGGGTACATAGTAATTAATATCTCCTGGTACATAGTAATGGATATCGCTGGGTACATAGTAATTAATATCTATAGGTACATATTAATTTATATCCCTTGGTACATGGTAATTTATGTTCCTTGGTACATGGTGATTTATGTCCCTTGGTACATGGTAATGTATGTCCCTTGGTACATGGTAATTCATGTCCCTTGGTACATGGTAATTTATGTCCCTTGGTACATGATATTTCATGTCTCTTGGTACACGGTGATTTATGTTCCTTGGTACATGGTAACTTATGTCCCTTGGTACATGGTAATGTATGTCTCGTGGTACATGGAAATTTATGTCTCTTGGTACATGGTAATTTATGTCCCTTGGTACATGGTAACTTATGTCCCTTGGTACATGGTAATGTATGGCCCTTGGTACATGGTAATTCATGTCCCTTGGTACATGATATTTCATGTCTCTTGGTACATGATATTTTATGTCTCTTGGTACATGGTAATTTATATCCCTTGGTGCATGGTGATTTATGTCCCTTAGTACATCGTAACTTATGTCCCTTGGTACATGGTAATGTATGTCCCTTGGTGCATGGTAACTAATGCTTCTAGGTACATGGGAATTCATGTCCCTGAGTACATGGTAATTCATGTCCCTTGGTATATGGTCATGTATGTCCCTTGGTACATGGTAACTAATGCTCTAGGTACATGGTAATTCATGTCCCTGAGTACATGGTAATTCATGTCCCTTGGTATGTGGTCATGTATGTCCCTTGGTACATGGTAACTAATGCTTCTAGGTACATGGTAATTCATGTCCCTGAGTACATGGTAATTCATGTCCCTTGGTATATGGTCATGTATGTCCCTTGGTACATGGTAACTAATGCTTCTAGGTACATGGTAATTCATGTCCCTGAGTGCATAGTAATTCATGTCCCTTGATACATGATAATGTATGTCCCTTGGTACATGGCAATTTATGTCCTTTGGTACATGGTAATTTATGTCCCTAGATACATGGTAGTTCATGTCCCTGATTACATGGTAATCTATGTCTCTTTGTACATGGTTAATGATGTCCCTAGGTACATGGGTGGGAATGTATGTCCCTTGGTACATGGTGTGGTATGTCCCTTGGTACATGGTGTGGTATGTCCCTTGGTACATGGTGTGGTATGTCCCTTGGTACATGGTGATTTATTTCCCTGGGTACATGGAAATTTATGTTCCAAGGTAAAACATAAAGTATGTATCTGGCTACATGGTAATTTATGTCCCTGTGTACATGGTTAATACTGCTTCTTGGTACATTGTTTTTCATGTCTCTGAGTACATGGTAATGTATGTCCCTGGGTACATGGCAATTTATGTCCCTGGGTACATGGCAATTTATGTCCCTTGGTACATGGTAATTCATGTCCCTGAGTACATGGTAATTCATGTCCCAGAGTACATGGTAATTCATGTCCCTTGGTACATGGTAATGTATGTCCCTTGGTACATGGTAATTTATGTCCCTAGGTACATGGTTATTAGTGTGTCTGGGTACATGGTAATTTATGTCCCAAGGTACATGGTAAAGTATTATATGGCTACATGGTAATATGACCCTGGGTACATGGTAACTTATGCTTCTATGTACATGGTTATTTATGTCCCTGGGTACATGGTTAGTAATGTCCCTAGGTACATGGTAAGCAATGTCCCAGGGTAAATGGTAAGTGATGTTGGAGAGTATGACAAAAAGGTAGGCATTGGTTAAATTTCTTATCTGTTTAACTTCACAAGTTTTTTTTGAATCTCTGGTCTTCTAACCCATTGGTCAAAACAGTACAATTTCCAAGGGTGGATCCTGAACATTTTGCAGGAAGAGGTTCTTTAATTTTTAGCTCACCTGGTCAATCACAATTTACCAGTGGGTAGAGGTAAATTACTCAAAATCATTTTCTGTGTGTACAGTCAACCCCTTAAAACTTGGTTCCATGGTCATAACATAGAAACAATTTAGACACCCATACCATCACCATTGATAGCTTGGCATATGCTACCAGTATTGGTCCTTCGGTCATAACAAAGAAATGGTTGAGATCCCTGTATGGTTGCTGAAGATAAATAGATGAACATACTTATGACACTACAGGATTCAGTCAGGGTTGTGGCATCATCCCTTGAGACTTATTTGCTATTGATAATTTTTTAACAAGAACACTTTGCTGAGAATCCAACTTGTCACTAAATATGTAGACATGGATACCTTTGTTTGATTGTTTTCTTGTCCATGCCGACTACGCAAATGTACACTTCTAAAACTGAGGTTCCGCACGGAGGATAGATATTATTTCTGCATTCTGTCTTTGCAATGTTCCTGTTTTTATTTCCTAGGTCCCCTATGAGTAAGAGATCAAGAAATGGGCGAAGATCTACATCACAACACAGGAAAAACAAGTAGGTTTACCAATTATGAATAAACATACATACTGATGGGGTCAACCCTTTGGCTATATATAGAAGTTACCATTGGAGACAAATCCTCTAATTAACTAGTATTTATAGATCTTGTTAATTATCCAAGGAATAGGGAATAACCTTTAGGTATCTATACATCATTTTGAAAGACATAGAGGGGGAAATCTGCCTTAAGCTTACGTAGATAATCTTTATGATCCATAGAGAAGGAATCCCCTTTTGTTTAAAAATTAAATCTTGACAATGACCTTGAAAGGGAGGTAACTTACTTTAACAAACATAGATTATGTTACTAATCAAGAGAGATTGAACCCTGTAAAGGGAGGTAGCCTACTTTAATGAACATAGATCTTGTTACTTATCTAGAGAGATTGAAGCCTGTAAAGGGAGGTAACCTACTTGAACTATAATAGATCTTGTTACTAATTGAGAGAGGTGGAACCTTGTAGAGCTATAATGTGTGTAGTCCTAAACCTCCCTCTAGCTATATATTTAGATCTCGTCATTAAGTTTGGGAGAGGAAGCCAAAGCACTTTACATGTTTATAGATTACATGTGAGTATAATAAGGGACCTGTGTAGTTTGATGGACAGACGTCACAGTCTAACATTGCTAGTTGTTTCTGTTAACACCTTGTCATTGTTCAATACCTAACTTGTGATCACTTCCACATTCGATCAGGAACCTATTAGATTTCTATCTTGAGTAGAAATACAATGTCAGGGTCCTTCATCAAAGCTCAATGTTAATTGTGATGAGGGTCAGAGTTCAAGGAATACATTGTCCAGCTCATTCTGATCTTCTGAATGTCTTGCTATAAAACTCTTTGATGTTCTTGTTATGAATAGATATTTCATGTCATATAAATCTTTCAGGTCCCTATACCAAAGGTGAAAGTCAAGCTAGGGGTCAAAATTCATGTAATGTGTGTTTTGCCCATAGCTAATGATCACCTCAAGATTTCTTTAAGAAACTTCATAGATGTAAGTGTCATTATTAACAGATTTGCCATATGATTCTTTATATTTCAAGCCTCAAAGGTCAAGGTCTTTACTTGTATGTCATAATTAGCCTGTGTACCATACAATATTCTCAGTCCCTCACGCAAAGCTCAAGGTCAAGGTCATGGCGAGCGCAATAAACATCAAGTAATGCATGTCTGGACTAAAACTTTTGGTCACCTCAAGATAAAAATCTGTTTGGAATAATATATGTTCATTTTACATTCATTAGGATTATAAACTTACCGGTAGTGTATGTCTTTAAAATGTTAAAATATTCATGGAAGGCACAGCAGACTTATACAGTATAGCTAGTGTTTATAGGTGAGCTCTAGATTATAAAGTCAGTCATATTTAAAGGAATTATTTACATTTATGTAAATACAAATGTAGTATCAATAAAAAGTCAACATCAGTTGTTTGTTTTTCCATACAGGTCCAAGTCATATTCCCGCTCAAGGTCAAGGTCTAGTTCAATGACAAGGTCACATAAGAGAAAGAAAAACAGGAGGTCAGGATCTTCTTCCAGAGATAGGAAGAAAACTTGCAGAAGGTAAGAGTACACACATGTCACACACATAACAGACCTAGACAGGTAAGTATAAACACACATTACAAACCTAGACAGGTAAGTATACACTCATGTTACATACCTTGACAGGTAAGTATACACATATGTTACATACCTAGTCAGGTAAGTATACATATATGTTACAGACCTATACAGGGAAGTATACACATATGTTATAGACATAGACAGGTAAGTATACATATATGTTAGAGACCTAGACAGGTAAGTATACATATATGTTAGAGACCTAGACAGGTAAGTATACATATATGTTACAGACCTAGACAGGTAAGAATGCACATATGTTATAGACCTAGACATGTAAGTATACACTTATGTTACAGACCTAGACAGGTAAGTGTACACATATGTTATAGACCTAGACAGGTAAGTATCCATATATGTTCCAGACCTAGACAGGTAAGAATACACACATGTTACATACCTAGACAGGTAAGTATACCCATATGTTATAGACCTAGACAGGTAAGTAGATACATTTGTTACAGACCTAGACAGGTAAGAATGCACATATGTTATAGACCTAGACATGTAAGTATACACTTATGTTACAGACCTAGACAGGTAAGTGTACACATATGTTATAGACCTAGACAGGTAAGTAGATACATTTGTTACAGACCTAGACAGGTAAGTGTACACATATGTTATAGACCTAGACAGGTAAGTATACACTTATGTTACAGACCTAGACAGGTAAGTATACACACATGTTATAGACCTAGCCAGACCTAGACAGGTAAGTATACACACATGTTACATACCTAGACAGGTAAGTATACACACACGTTACATACCTAGACAGGTAAGTATACACATATGTTACAGACCTTGACAGGTAAGTATACACATATGTTACAGACCTAGACAGGTAAGTATACACACACGTTACAGACGTAGACAGGTTAGTGTACACACACGTTACATACATAGACAGGTAAGTATACACACAAGTTACAGACCTAGACAGGTAAGTATACACACATGTTACAGACCTAGACAGGTAAGTATACACACAAGTTACAGACCTAGACAGGTAAGTATACACACAAGTGACAGACCTAGACAGGTAAGTATACACACATGTTACAGACCTAGACAGGTTATATACTCAGACACATATTATAGACCTCCATAGTTACAAATGATGCATCAGAAAGGGCTAATTCCACATCGACTGATAATATCAATCACAATAGACAATTATGGTGAAAGTATTTTTCTTACGTTTAGGACCACAATATGGGATATTTAGGACCACAACATGTTATATTTAGGACCACAACATGTTATATTTAGGACCACAACATGTTATATTTAGGACCACAACATGTTATATTTAGGACCACAACATGTTATATTTAGGACCACAACATGTTATATTTAGGACCACAACATGTTATATTTAGGACCACAACATGTTATATTTAGGACCACAACATGTTATATTTAGGACCACAACATGTTATATTTAGGACCACAACATGTTATATTTAGGACCACAACATGTTATATTTAGGACCACAACATGGGATATTTAGGACCACAACATGTTATATTTAGGACCACAACATGGGATATTTAGGACCACAACATGTGATATTTAGGACCACAATTATATGTTGAATGATGTAGAGTATGGTTTGTATCTTGGGAACATAGAAAAAACTGAATGCTTAACAATACTGAGCAACATCAGAGAAACCTAAAAAAGGAAGTGTTTATTGCTGATAGGTAAACATTTAAAAACAGATGTACAGGTGCAGCTTCCTACTAAATAATATACCAGGGATGTTACTCATGAAATAGAGCTTGACAAAAAAAACTTGAAAAAAGAATCGCTGGATACTTTTTTAGAAACACTGTTACAATTTTGAACATTTAGTGGCATTTCGTAGTGAAGAGAGGAGCAGTTAAGATTGCTATCAGGTCTTTTATACAGGCCTGTACTCGCATATAGTTGCTAAATCCCATTGAAAAATTAGCCGATAACTAAAGCTTAAAAAAGAAAAGAAAATGAGAAGTTTGATGAGCCATGATAAATAAATACTCAAGGAGGATGCACAATGCAGATGAAAACAGACAAACTTTCACCTTATTTTAAATGTTGGGTCCTATATTGAGGAAACAGTACATATTGTTATATAAGAGTGATATATCCCTTCCCATGCAAATAACACCTTCACAAAACATATATAGGCCCTGTGAGTAGAAACTTAAGTACTACACTGTATTTCATTTAGAAGTGTTAATTTGTTATTAAAGAATAATGTAGAATATTGTTATCACCGTGCATGTGGTCCCTGGTGTTCATTATTTACATCAATATTAATTAATATTTCAGATCCAAGTCAAGACAAAACACACATTCAAGATCCAAGTCCCCCAGACATGCTGTGAATGGCAAGTCTATCACCTTGTCTCGACAAAGCTCATCAGTGTCACAGGGAAGCAGTTCCAGGTGTCCGTCATTACGACAGAAACCAGATGATCTGACCAGTAGTAAAAACCTGTCTAAGGGGTCGCGGCCATCGTCACCAGGGATACAATCCCACGGGGAAAGGTCACCACAGACATCAACAAAAAAGGACCAACTGTCACCTATCTCTAGTCAACAACATCCAGAGCTAGAAAACAGCCACACAAATGGCAGGGCAAGGGCAAGGGCAGGGTCTAGGTCAAGATCTAGGTCTAGGTCAAGGTCAAGGTCAAGGTCTTTGTCTCCTGTCACTGAAAAGCAATCATCACATGATAATCTGGAATCGCCCTCATTCGACATTGACATGACGCATGACCCTGGCTCTGATCCCTTGGAACTCCAGACATGTAATCACCAGTTCAAGTAAGTTTTTTGATTTACATTAGAAACATTCTAGTGTTATTCTTATTTAAATTGACCCAGATTTTCAGTTATACAGTTTAATATGTGGTGGTCTAATGCAAATCTCAGTCCCATAATATGTCACTCACCAAAGGTGTCCAGGGTTCTCTGTCCTATAATATGTCACTCACCAAAGGTGTCCAGGGTTTCTCTGTCCCATAATATGTCACTCACCAAAGATGTCCAGAGTTCTCTGTCCCATAATATGTCACTCACCAAAGGTGTCCAGAGTTTTCTGTCCCATAATATGTCACTCACCAAAGGTGTCCAGAGTTCTCTGTCCCATAATATCTCACTCACCGCATGTGGCCAGTGTTTCTCTGTCCCATAATATGTCACTCAACAAAGGTGTCCAGAGTTCTCTGTCCCATAATATCTCACTCACCGCATGTGGCCAGTGTTTCTCTGTCCCATAATATGTCACTCAACAAAGGTGTCCAGGCTTCTCTGTCCCATAATATGTCACTCAACAAAGGGGTCCAGGGCTCTCTGTCCCATAATATGTCACTCAACAAAGGTGTCCAGAGTTCTCTGTCCCATAATATGTCACCCACCACAGGTGTCCAGTGTTTCTCTGTCCCATAATATGTCACTCAACAAAGGTGTCCAGGGTTCTCTGTCCCATAATATGTCACAAAGGTGTCCAGGGTTCTCTGTCCTATAATATGTCACTCACCAAAGGTGTCCAGGGCTTCTCTGTCCCATAATATGTCACTCACCAAAGGTGTCCAGGGTTTCTCTGTCCTATAATATGTCACTCACCAAAGGTGTCCAGGGTTTCTCTGTCCCATAATATGTCACTCCCCAAAGGTGTCCAGGGTTCTCTGTCCAATAATATGTCACTCACCAAAGGTGTTCAGCGTTTCTCTGTCCCATAACATGTCACTCACCAAAGGTGTCCAGGGTTCTCTGTCCCATAATATGTCACAAAGGTGTCCAGGGTTCTCTGTCCTATAATATGTCACTCACCAAAGGTGTCCAGGGTTTCTCTGTCCCATAATATGTCACTCCCCAAAGGTGTCCAGGGTTCTCTGTCCAATAATATGTCACTCACCAAAGGTGTTAAGGGTTTCTCTGTCCCATAATATGTCACTCACCCAAGGTGTCCAGGGTTCTCTGTCCCATAATATGGTTCACTCAACAAACGTGTCCAGTGTTTCTCTGTCCCATAATATGTCACTCAACAAAGGTGTCCAGGCTTCTCTGTCCCATAATATGTCACTCAACAAAGGGGTCCAGGGCTCTCTGTCCCATAATATGTCACTCAACAAAGGTGTCCAGGGTTCTCTGTCCCATAATATGGTTCACTCAACAAACGTGTCCAGGGTTCTCTGTCCCATAATATGTCACTCAACAAAGGTGTCCAGGGTTCTCTGTCCCATAATATGTCACTCACCACAGGTGTCCAGGGTTTCTCTGTCCAGTAATATGTCACTCACCGCAGGTGTCCAGGGTTCTCTGTCCCATAATATGTCACTCACCAAAGGTGTCCAGGGTTCTCTGTCCCATAATATGTCACTTACCACAGGTGTCCAGGGTTCTCTGACCCATAATATGTCACTCACCAAAGGTGTCCAGTGTTTCTCTATCCCATAATATGTCACTCACCACAGGTGTCCAGGGTTCTCTGTCCCATAATATGTAACTCACCAAAGGTGTCCAGGGTTCTCTGTCCCATAATATGTCACTTACCACAGGTGTCCAGGGTTCTCTGACCCATAATATGTCACTCACCAAAGGTGTCCAGTGTTTCTCTATCCCATAATACGTCACTCACCACAGGTGTCCAGGGTTCTCTGTCACATAATATGTAACTCACCAAAGGTGTCCAGGGTTCTCTGTCCCATTATATGGTTCACTCACCAAAGGTGTCCAGGGTTTCTCTGTCCCATAATATGTCACTCACCACAGGTGTACAGGGTTCTCTGTCCAATAATATGTCACTCACCAAAGGTGTCCAGGGTTCTCTATCCCATAATATGTCACTCACCACAGGTGTCCAGGGGTCTCTGTCCCATAATATGTAACTCACCAAAGGTGTCCAGGGTTCTCTGTCCCATAATATGTAACTCACCAAAGGTGTCCAGGGTTCTCTGTCCCATAATATGGTTCACTCACCAAAGGTGTCCAGGGTTCTCTGTCCAATAATATGGGTCACTCACCAAAGGTGTCCAGGGTTCTCTGTCTCATAATATGGGTCACTCACCAAAGGTTTCCAGGGTTCTCTGTCCAATAATATGTCACTCACCAAAGGTGTCCAGGGTTCTCTGTCCCATTATATGGTTCACTCACCAAAGGTGTCCAGGGTTTCTCTGTCCTATAATATGTCACTCACCAAAGGGGTCCAGGGTTCTCTGTCTCATAATATGGGTCACTCACCAAAGGTTTCCAGGGTTCTCTGTCCAATAATATGTCACTCACCAAAGGTGTCCAGGGTTTCTCTGTCCCATAATATGTCACTCACCAAAGGTTTCCAGGGTTCTCTGTCCAATAATATAGTTCACTCACCAAAGGTGTCCAGGGTTTCTCTGTCCCATAATATGTCACTCACCACAGGTGGCCAGTGTTTCTCTGTCCCATAATATGTCACTCACCAAAGGTTTCCAGGGTTCTCTGTCCAATAATATAGTTCACTCACTAAAGGTGTCCAGGGTTCTCTGTCCCATAATATGTAACTCACCAAAGGTGTCCAGGGTTCTCTGTCCCATAATATGTAACTCACCAAAGGTGTCCAGGGTTCTCTGTCCCATAATATGTCACTCACCAAAGGTGTCCAGGGTTCTCTGTCTCATAATATGGGTCACTCACCAAAGGTTTCCAGGGTTCTTTGTCCAATAATATAGTTCACTCACCAAAGGTGTCCAGGGTTCTCTGTCCCATAATATGTCACTCACCAAAGGTTTCCAGGGTTCTCTGTCCAATAATATGTCACTCACCAAAGGTGTCCAGGGTTCTCTGTCCTATAATATGTCACTCACCAAAGGTTTCCAGGCTTCTCTGTAGAAATATACCTGTAGTAGTATGGGTCACTCACCAAAGGTGTCCAGGGTTCTCTGTCCCATAATATGTCACTCACCAAAGGTGTCCAGGGTTTCTCTGTAGAAATATACCTGTAGTAGTATTTGTCCAGGGTTTCTCTGTAGAAATATACCTGTAGTAACAGTTAGTATTTGTCCAGGTTTTCATTTGCTGAGATTACCTTTCTTACATTTCACATGGTGTTAAACTGTTATATGTAGATATGTAATATGGGTTTACTCCTGAGGTCAAGGTCACTGTTGCTGAAAATAAAACAGGGGGAATATCTGGTCAAAAAACACATTATATAAATTGTGTATTGCTGCTTCACACCTACCAGTCTGTCTTTTGGCCGTGAAAGGTCAAGATCACTGTTAACAAAAGAACAGGGGCAATTCATTGTCAAAACTGCATATCATGATCATAATTTCTTACTTGCCATTCTTTGTTTTGTTAGTAAATGATTTGTAGTGGGTAATATCGTACATTAATTTCACCAGGTAATCACTGGTATCCTAAAATTAAAGATGGCCGCAGTCAATCACTTCCAATTGGCTGTGACATATACTCGTGGCTATAGTTTTACTCTATTGATGCACTAAGTAGATAGTGTACACCAGGTAGATAGTGTACACTAGGTAGATAGTGGACACCAGGTAGATAGTGTACACTAGGTAAATAGTGTACACTAGGTAGATAGTGTACCCCAGGTAGATAGTGTACACTACGTAAATAGTGTACACTAGGTAGATAGTGTACACCAGGTAGATAGTGTACTATAGGTAGATAGTGTACACTAGGTAGATAGTGTACACTAGGTAGATAGTGTACACCAGGTAGATAGTGTACACCAGGTAGATAGTGTACATGACTTCTGATTATTATGTACATCTGATTTTGTTCACCGATACTTTGTGGTAATTGGTACTTGTCAGATTTCACACCTGATATCCTATATTTAGATTAAGTCCAAGGTAATGTTGCTTTGACTTCTGTTTCACGTATCACCAGGTAGATGATGGGGGCCTAACTAATCAAAACTAAAAGTCATAGACACTGTAACAAAGCTGAGTCACCAACTTGATGTACAATGTACCAATAATTTATAAACATGATAATTATACCATATCTGCTACATACATGGTCTATATTACAGGTACAATGTACCAATAATTTATAAACATGATAATTATACCAATAACTGCTACATACATGGTCTATATTACAGGCACAATGTACCACCAGAGGATAGCAGGAATGATAGCGACGACAGGTAAATCTTAGGTTCTCACGTGTTACCTGTCTAAAAGAGAAATATAAGCTTTCACAATATCTGTGTCGGTACAAATTATAGGTTAGGTTAGTATATGCGACGTTATTCAGGGTAAATGATTTGCGACAAATGTCTGCATACAGAGTTTAACATTGGTGTAGATGTTGAGATACAGACATTGATATTGGTATCAGTGTCTGTATATGGAGGTTGATATGGGTATTGGTGTCAGTATACTGAGGTTGATATTGGTATGGGTGTCAGTATACTGAGGTTGATATTGGTATGGGTGTCAGTATACTGAGGTTGATATTGGTATTGGTGTTAGTATACTGAGGTTGATATTGGTATGGGTGTCAGTATACTGAGGTTGATATGGGTATTGGTGTCAGTATACTGAGGTTGATATTGGTATGAGTGTCTGTATATGGAGGTTGATATGGGTATTGGTGTCAGTATACTGATGTTGATATTGGTATGGGTGTCAGTATACTGAGGTTGATATGGGTATTGGTGTCAGTATACTGAGGTTGATATTGGTATTGGTGTTAGTATACTGAGGTTGATATTGGTTTGGGTGTCAGTATGCTGAGGTTGATATGGGTATTGGTGTCAGTATACTGATGTTGATATTGGTATGGGTGTCAGTATACTGAGGTTGATATTGGTATTGGTGTTAGTATACTGAGGTTGATATTGGTATGGGTGTCAGTATACTGAGGTTGATATATGTGTATAGGTGTCAGTATTCTGAGGTTGATATTGGTGTGGGGGTAAGTATACTGAGGTTAATATTGGTATAGGTGTCAGTATTCTGAGGTTGATATTGGTATCAGTGTCAGTATACTGTCAGTATACTGAGGTTGATATTGGTATGGGAGTCAGTATACTGAGGTTGATATGGGTATTGGTGTCAGTATACTGAGGTTGATATTGGAATGGGTGTCAGTATACTGAGGTTGATTAATGTGTATAGGTGTCAGTATTCTGAGGTTGATATTGGTATGGGTGTCAGTATGTGGAGGTTGATATTGGTGTCAGTGTAAGTATACTGAGGTTGATATGGGTATTGGTGTCAGTATACTGAGGTTGATATTGGAATGGGTGTCAGTATACTGAGGTTGATTAATGTGTATAGGTGTCAGTATTCTGAGGTTGATATTGGTGTGGGTGTAAGTATACTGAGGTTAATATTGGTATAGGTGTCAGTATTCTGAGGTTGATATTGGTATCAGTGTCAGTATACTGAGGTTGATATTGGTATCAGTCTCAGTATGTGGAGGTTGATATTGGTATCAGTGTTAATATGTGGAGGTTGATATTGGTATCAGTGTTAGTATACTGATGTTGATATTGGTGTCAGTGTCTGTATATGGAGGTTGATATGGGAATTGGTGTCAGTATACTGAGGTTGATATTGGTATCAGTGATAGTCTGTGGAGGTTGATATTGGTATCAGTGTCAGTATGTGGAGGTTGATATTGATATCAGTGTTAGTATACTGAGGTTGATATTGGTGTCTGTATATGGAGGTTGATATTGGTGTGGGTGTCAGTATGTGGAGGTTGATATTGGTGTCAGTGTAGTCAGTATTCTGAGGTTGATATTGGTGTGGGTGTAAGTATACTGAGGTTGATATTGGTATCAGTGTTAGTATGTGGAGGTTGATATTGGTATCAGTGTCAGTATCTGGAGGTTGATATTGGTATCAGTGTCAGTATCTGGAGGTTGATAATGGTATCAGTGTCAGTATGTGGAGGTTGATATTGGTAACAGTGTCAGTATCTGGAGGTTGATATTGGTATCAGTGTCAGTATCTGGAGGTTGATAATGGTATCAGTGTCAGTATGTGGAGGTTGATATTGATATCAGTGTTAGTATACTGAGGTTGATATTGGTGTCAGTGTCTGTATATGGAGGTTGATATTGGAATTGGTGTCAGTATACTGAGGTTGATATTGGTATCAGTGATAGTCTGTGGAGGTTGATATTGGTATCAGTGTCAGTATCTGGAGGTTGATAATGGTATCAGTGTCAGTATGTGGAGGTTGATATTGATATCAGTGTTAGTATACTGAGGTTGATATTGGTGTCAGTGCCTGTATATGGAGGTTGATATGGGAATTGGTGTCAGTATACTGAGGTTGATATTGGTATCAGTGATAGTCTGTGGAGGTTGATATTGGTATCAGTGTCAGTATATGGAGGTTGATATTGGTATCAGTGTCAGTATCTGGAGGTTGATAATGGTATCAGTGTCAGTATGTGGAGGTTGATATTGATATCAGTGTTAGTATACTGAGGTTGATATTGGTATCAGTCTCAGTATGTGGAGGTTGATATTGGTATCAGTGTCAGTATCTGGAGGTTGATATTGGTATCAGTGTCAGTATCTGGAGGTTGATAATGGTATCAGTGTCAGTATGTGGAGGTTGATATTGGTGTCAGTGTAGTCAGTATTCTGAGGTTGATATTGGTGTGGGTGTAAGTATACTGAGGTTAATATTGGTATCAGTGTAAGTATGTGAAGGTTGATATTGGTATCAGTGTCAGTATCTGGAGGTTGATATTGGTATCAGTGTCAGTATGTGGAGGTTGATATTGGTAACAGTGTCAGTATCTGGAGGTTGATATTGGTATCAGTGTTAGATGTGGAGGTTGATATTGGTATCAGTGTCAGTATGTGGAGGTTGATATTGGTATCAGTGTCAGTATCTGGAGGTTGATATTGGTATCAGTGTTAGTATGTGGAGGTTGATATTGGTATCAGTGTTAGTATGTGGAGGTTGATATTGGTATCAGTGTCAGTATGTGGAGGTTGATATTGGTATCAGTGTCAGTATGTGGAGGTTGATATTGGTATCAGTGTTAGTATACTGAGGTTGATATTGGTATCAGTGTCTGTATATGGAGGTTGATATGGGTATTGGTGTCAGTAAACTGAGGTTGATATTGGTATCAGTGTTAGTATACTGAGGTTGATATTGGTGTCTGTATATGGAGGTTGATATTGGTATGGGTGTCAGTATGTGGAGGTTGATATTGGTGTCAGTGTAAGTATACTGAGGTTGATATTGGTATAGGTGTCAGTATACTGAGGTTGATATTGGTGATGGTGTCAGTATACTGAGGTTGATATTGGTATGTGTGTCAGTATGTGGAGGTTGATATTGGTGTCAGTGTAAGTATACTGAGGTTGATATTGGTATCAGTGTCTGTATATGGAGGTTGATATGGGTATTGGTATCAGTATACTGAGGTTGATACTGGTATCAGTGTCAGTATACTTAGGTTGATATTGGTATGGGTGTCAGTATACTGTGGTTGATATTGGTATGGGTGTCAGTATGTGGAGGTTGATATTGTTGTCAGTATACTGATGTTGTTATTGGTATGGGTGTCAGTATACAGAGGGGGAAGGTTTGTTACAGGTGTCAATATACATTGGTTGATGTTGTAGGTGTTGGTATGGAGACATTAGTATAGGTGTAGGTTACAGAGCACAGAGGTTAAAACACTGGTGTATGTATCAGCATACGTCAGTTAATTACATTAGTGTGTTTGTCAGTATACTGCAGCTTAATACTTGTAACAAGTGTCCATACGTATACGTGTCAATGCACAGAGGTTAATATTAATGTGGGTATCAGAGGTAGATATTGATATAGGTGTCAATGCACAGAGGTTAATATTTGTGTGGGTATCAGAGGTAGATATTGATATAGGTGTCATCATACAGAGGTTAATATTTGTGTGGTAATCAGAGGTAGATATTGATATAGGTGTCAATGCACAGAGGTTAATATTAGTGTGGGTATCAGAGGTAGATATTGATATAGGTGTCAATGTACAGAGGTTAATATTAATGTGGGTATCAGAGATAGATATTGATATAGGTGTCATCATATAGAGGTTAATATTTGTGTGGTAATCAGAGGTAGATATTGATATAGGTGTCAATGCACAGAGGTTAATATTAATGTGGGTATCAGAGATAGATATTGATATAGGTGTCAATGTACAGAGGTTAATATTGGTGCCATGTCAGTATTCAGGTTAAGATTTAAGAGGTGTCAATATATAGAGGTAAGCAATGTTTACAAATGTCCATATAGAGGAGGTTGATCTGAGTATTGATGTCAGTACAGTATAAGGAGGTTGAGATGAGTATTGACGTCAGTACAGTATAAGGAGGTTGTGATGAGTATTGCTGTCAGTACAGTATAAGGAGGCTGAGATGAGTATTGATGTCAGTACAGTTTAAGGAGGTTGAGATGAGTATTGATGTCAGTACAGTATAAGGAGGTTTAGATGAGTATTGATGTCAGTACAGTATCAGGAGGTTTAGATGAGTATTGATGTCAGTACATTATAAGGAGGTTTAGATGAGTATTGATGTCAGTACAGTATAAGGAGGTTGAGATAAGTATTGATGTCAGTACAGTATAAGGAGGTAGAGATGAGTATTGATGTCAGTACAGTTTCTAATAATTAAAATCTGTGACAAGTGTTCAGATACAGTAGTAAAGGTAAGTTGCCATCCTTGAGACAATGTGGTTGCATGTCCTTTTCATGAAGGTATTGATTTTACAGTTAAAATAACTGTTGCAGCATGAATATGGATTTTGTTTTGCTTTCTCAAGATGAATTTCTTTACTCGTAGTCGTCTAGGAAAACTGTAATTGTATTTTGTGGTTGAATTTTGAGTTTTTGTGTATATTTGCTGACAATAGTGAGCTGTGTAATTGAATCTGTAAGCTAAACAGTTACATGTGTAGATAAAGTGGACCTTGTTAGTCTGGTGCGAAACGGTTCTCAGACAAAAACTGAATTTCTATTCATTTCACAATTGATGTTAAACAAAAAGCACTTTCCACCCATTCTGGACTAACAAGGTTCATGTTGCTTTTATGTTAATGCTTAGATGGATGAGAATTAGTATAGAAGGGTTTGGTTGGATTCGGAGGTTAAGTGATGTGTTGTATACATGTCCCTTTGTCATCCCTCACGTCAATACATGTTTTGTGTTGTCAATATTTAGTGACAAACCATGGAAAAGAAAATCATTATTACACATACTACCAACCAATCGAACGGAGGAAACTCAACTACTCCAACCACTACTTACATTGGATGTAACTCCAGCTACACAAACCAACTACACAAAGGGGATGTAACTCCAGCTACACAAACCAACTACACAAAGGGGATGTAACTCCACCAACTAAAATACACCACCTACTCCATTGAAATATTCCAACTACACAGCTGGCCATCTACTCAATACCAGACTCTGTACCCTTAAGGAGGTAAATGTCACTGACAGTATCACACTTGTAAGGGAGATAACCCAATCACCTACTGAAGAGCTCCACAACATTGAAGTAGATGCCTCATCTAACATACGCTCAAGGGAGATCACTCTGGCACCACCTTTCCCCTACCAGTTGAAAGGATGACTGATACCATGCCAACTGTGACGACTGATAGGATTTGTTACTTGATCACTCAGAGCTCACCATGACTGCTCACCTACCCATACAACAGTCTCATGGTCACACAGACCCTCCTATATTGGTTACACACGGTCACCACAAACCCCGGCCGAAAGTTGTGGACGTGAGTAAACTTGTTGAGAAGAAATTAACCTCTATCATAGATACATGTACAGTAACATAAAAACCTATATATCCTACCTAACTCTGTCTCATTTTAACTTTTTTACAAGTGTTATGTTCCACAGATAATTTTAGATAGTATAGAAAGATGCTCTAGTGCCATCTCTATTCCCAAAATCCTCTCCGACCTGATGATGTTCTTCTTTCACCCTTTAACTAATTTGTTTGTTGATTATTTGTTCAAGCACTTAATATTAATTCAGTACTGTTTAACATTCCCAAAGTAATTATAGAGCACAAATACTTTCTTAGAACAATAACACATTGTCAGGATACAGTAACACATTTTCAGAATACAGTAACACATTGTCAGAATACAGTAATACCTTGTCAGAATACAGTAACACATTGTCAGGATACAGTAACACCTTGTCAGAATACAGTAACACATTGTCAGAATACAGTAACATATTGTCAGGATACAGTAATACCTTGTCAGGATACAGTAACACATTGTCAGGATACAGTAACACCTTGTCAGAATACAGTAACACATTGTCAGAATACAGTAACACATTGTCAGGATACAGTAACATATTGTCAGAATACAGTAATACATTGTCAGGACACAGTAACACATTGTCAGGAAATAGTAATACATTGTCAGGACACAGTAACACATTGTCAGAATACAGTAACAAATTGTCAGGATACAGTAACATATTGACAGGATACAGTAACATATTGTCAGAATACAGTAACACATTGTCAGGTTACAGTAATACCTTGTCAGGATACAGTAACAAATTGTCAGGATACAGTTACATATTGTCAGGATACAGTAACATATTGTCAGAATACAGTAACACATTGTCAGAATACAGTAACAAATTGTCAGGATACAGTTACATATTGTCAGCATACAGTAACATATTGTCAGAATACAGTAACACATTGTCAGGAAATAGTAATACATTGTCAGGACACAGTAACACATTGTCAGGAAATAGTAATACATTGTCAGGACACAGTAACACATTGTCAGGATACAGTAATACCTTATCAGGATACAGTAACAAATTGTCAGGATACAGTAATACCTTGTCAGAATACAGGAACACATTGTCAGGATACAGTAACAAATTGTCAGGATGCAGTAATACCTTGTCAGAATACAGTAATACCTTGTCAGATTACAGTAACACATTGTCAGGATACAGTAATACCTTGTCAGAATACAGGAACACATTGTCAGGATACAGTAACAAATTGTCAGGATGCAGTAATACCTTGTCAGAATACAGTAATACCTTCTCAGAATACAGTAATACCTTGTCAGAATACAGTAACACGTAGTCAGGATATAGTAACACATTGTCAGGATACAGTAATACATTGTCAGGACACAGTAAAACATTGTCAGAATACAGTAACAAATTGTCAGGATACAGTAATACCTTGTCAGGATACAGTAATAAATTGTCAGGATACAGTAACACATTGTCAGGTTACAGTAACACATTGTCAGAATACAATAACACATTGTCAGGATACAGTAACACCTTGTCAGAATACAGTAACACATTGTCAGGTTACAGTAACACATTGTCAGAATACAGTAATACCTTGTCAGATTACAGTAACACATTGTCAGGATACAGTAATACCTTGTCAGGATACAGTAACACATTGTCAGAATACAGTAATACCTTGTCAGATTACAGTAACACATTGTCAGGATACAGTAACAAATTGTCAGGATGCAGTAATACCTTGTCAGAATACAGTAATACCTTGTCAGATTACAGTAACACATTGTCAGGATACAGTTACATATTGTCAGGATACAGTAACATATTGTCAGAATACAGTAATACATTGTCAGGACACAGTGACACATTGTCAGGATAGAGTAATACCTTGTCAGAATACAGTAACACATTGTCAGGTTACAGTAATACCTTGTCAGGATACAGTAACACATTGTCAGGATACAGTTACATATTGTCAGGATACAGTAACATATTGTCAGAATACAGTAACACATTGTCAGGACACTATAAAACATTATTAAGAAACAGTTAAACAATGTCAGGATATAAAAAACATTGTCAGGATACGGTAATACATTGTCAAGATACAGCAACACATTGTCAGGATACAGTAACACATTGTCATGATATAGCAACATGTACATTGTCAGGATATGGTAACATGTACTTTGTCAGGATACAGTAACACATTGTTAGGATATAGTAACATGTAAATTGTCAGGATATAGTAACATGTATATTGTCAGGATAGAGTAACATGTATATTGTCAGGATACAATAACACATTGTCAGGATACAGTAACATATTGTCAGGATACAGTAACATATTGTCAGAATACAGTAACACATTGTCAGGATACAGTAACACATTGTCAGGATATAGTAACATGTACATTGTCAGGATATGGTAACATGTACATTGTCAGGATACAGTAACACATTGTCAGGATATAGCAACATGTACATTGTCAGGATATGGTAACACGTACATTGTCAGGATACAGTAACACATTGTCAGGATATAGTAACATGTACATTGTCAGGATATAGTAACACGTACATTGTCAGCATACAATAACACATTGTCAGGACACACTAAAACATCATCATGATACAGTAATACATTGTCAGGATACAGTAACATATAAATTGTCAGGATATAGTAACATGTACATTGTCAGGATATGGTAACATGTACTTTGTCAGGATACAGTAACACATTGTCAGGATACAGTCACATATTGTCAGGATACAGTAACACATTGTCAGGATATAGTAATACATTGTCAGGACACACTAACACATCATCATGATACAGTAATATATTGTCAGGATACAGTAACATGTAAATTGTCAGGATATAGTAACATGTACATTGTCAGGATATGGTAACAGGTACATTGTCAGGATAAAGTAACACATTGTCAGGATATAGTAACATGTATATTGTCAGGATACATGTTACTATATCCTGACAATTTACATGTTACTGTATCCTGACAATGTAGTACTGTATCATGATGATGTGTTAGTGTGTCCTGACAATGTGTTATTGTATGCTGACAATGTACGTGTTACTATATCCTGACAATGTACATGTTACCATATCCTGACAATGTACGTGTTACTATATCCTGACAATGTACATGTTCCTATATCCTGACAATGTGTTACTGTATCCTGACAAAGTACATGTTACCATATCCTGACAATGTACGTATTACTATATCCTGACAATTTACATGTTACTGTATCCTGACAATGTATTACTGTATCATGATGATGTTTTAGTGTGTCCTGACAATGTGTTATTGTATCCTGACAATATACATATTACTATATCCTGACAATATACATGTTACTATATCCTGACAATGTACATGTACATTGTCAGGATATAGTAACATGTTTATTGTCAGGATATAGTAACATGTATATTGTCAGGATACAATAACACATTGTCAGGATACAGTAACACATCATCATGATACAGTAATACATTGTCAGGATACAGTAACATGTAAATTGTCAGGATATAGTAACATGTATATTGTCAGGATACAATAACACATTGTCAGGATACAGTAACACATTGTCAGGATATAGTAACACGTACATTGTCAGGATACATTAAAACAATGTCATGATATAGAAACACACTGTCAGGATACAGTAAAACATTGTCAAGAAATAGTAACACATTGTCAGGATACAACAACAAATTGTCAGGATACAGTAACATATTGTCAGGATACAGTAACAACTTGTCGGAATACATTAAACAGTAACACATTGTCAGGATACAGTAAAACATTGTCAAGAAATAGCAACACATTGTCAGGATACAACAACAAATTGTCAGGATACAGTAACATATTGTCAGGCTACAGTAACAAATTGTCAGGATACAGCAACAAATTGTCAGGATACAGTAACAAATTGTCAGGATACAGCAACACATTGTCAGGATACAGTAACAAATTGTCAGGATACAGCAACAAATTGTCAGGATACAGTAACAAATTGTCAGGATACAGCAACAAATTGTCAGGATACAGTAACAAATTGTCAGGATACAGCAACACATTGTCAGGATACAGTAACATATTATCAGAATACAGTAAACAACTAGTAACACATTATCAGGACACTATATCACATTGTAAAGAAACAGTTAAATAATGTCAGGATATAAAAAAACATTGTCAGGATACAGTAATACATTGTCAGGATACAGCAACACATTGTCAGGATACAGTAACAAATTGTCAGGATACAGTAACATATTGTCAGGATATAAAAAAAACATTGTCAGGATATGGTAATACATTGTCAGGATACAACAACACATTGTCAGGATATAAAAAAAACATTGTCAGGATATGGTAATACATTGTCAGGATACAACAACACATTGTCAGGATACAGTAACATATTGTCAGGATACAGTAACACATTGTCAAGAAATAGTAACACATTGTCAGGATTCAGCAACAAATTGTCAGGATACAGTAACACATTGTCAGGATACAGTAACATATTATCAGAATACAGTAAACAACTAGTAACACATTATCAGGACACTATATCACATTGTAAAGAAACAGTTAAATAATGTCAGGATATAAAAAAACATTGTCAGGATACAATAATACATTGTCAGGATACAGCAACACATTGTCAGGATACAGTAAACAGTAACACATTGTCAGGATACAGTTACATATTGTCAGGATACAGAAACATATTGTCAGAATACAGTAAACAGTAAAAAAATTCAGGACACTATAAAACATTATTAAGAAACAGTTAAACAATGTTAGGATATGAAAAAAACATTGTCAGGATACGGTAATACATTGTCAGGATACAGCAACACATTGTCAGGATACAGCAACACATTGTCAGGATACAGTAACATATTATCAGAATACAGTAACATATTATCAGAATACAGTAAACAACTAGTAACACATTATCAGGACACTATTCCACATTGTTAAGAAACAGTTAAATAATGTCAGGATATAAAAAACATTGTCAGGATACAATAATACATTGTCAGGATACAGCAACAAATTGTCAGGATACAGTAACAAATTGTCAGGATACAGTAACATATGGTCAGGATACAGTAACATATTGTAAGGATTTAGTAACACATTGTCAGGATATAGTAACACATTGTAAGGATATAGTAAAACAAGTTTGATTTCATTTCAGTTAGAATGTATATACCTTAGATACACAATGTTTCCTTTTAGAATGAATGAAACTTTTGGTATACTACATTACTTCAGTTATCTAGATATAACGTTTCAATAATTTAGTCCCAAAACTAATTCAAACCAGATCTTATCAGAAAAAAAAAGTAATAAATCTAATATTTTTTTGTATAAATTGATTGTTATGTGTAGTAGAAGTCACACAGCCAAGCGAAAATAAAGGCTTGAGGTACATGACAGCTATCACAATGTGAACAAATTTACAAGGAGAACGACATACACTATAATCCTGGTCATGGCTCCAAAAAAAATCAACACTTCCAAAACGAAAGGTGGCAAAATTGAATCCAGTGACACTTTGGAAGCCAATTATTTTTTTCAGTGAATATTGAAAAGCAGCTCTTATTCCAGTTTGGGGAATATGTGTTAAGTTGTGCTATTTGTATATTAAAGTCACATTGTGTCTGAGAGCATGATTGCTTTTTTACCACAATATACAAACATATATGTCTTTCTGATAATGTTTCAATGAATACATATTTGCACCTGTCAAAATGATATTCTGTTATGTCTTTGGAATGTTAACAATCACCCTTATTTCCTAGCTTTGTCTTTCTATACTTGTTTTCTAAAGACTCCTTTTTCCTGATCCTGTCAAAGTGTACCTCTAGCCTTAAATACCCCTATATCCATATTTTGACATTGTGTACCCCCAACCTAAGTACACCTATATCCATATCTGGACATTGTGTACCCCCAGCCTAAGTACACCTAATTCTTTGTTTTTTGTCATTTAAAAGTAAACAATGTGTAAAAAATTTGATTATTACAATACAAACACATGTATAAATAAAGATTACATTTATTGCAATACAAATACATATATACAAATCAATTATTTTTATCCTTGTAAAAAATGTGTATGGAAAAGAAAATTGTCACAATACAAATATACGTACCAGAAAGAATTATGATCATCACAATATGAATTACCAATCACAATAGTTCAGTGCTTACTAAAAACATGTACAAAATAATATTCAATTTTACAAGATACCAGTAAGTGCCCTATTTATACCAGTAAGTGCCCTATTTATACCAGTAAGTGCCCTATGTATACCAGTAAGTGCCCCTATTTATACCAGTAAGTGCCCTATTTATACCAGTAAGTGCCCTATGTATACCAGTAGGTGTGTTTATCACCCCTTGGTCTGGTTCTGTAACATGTCTTGTTCAACCTCTGTAAGTTCTGTGTTTGTTCAGATTGTTGTTGCTATGGTAATCCTATTCAAACCTCATTGGTTGTGAAATGGTTTTGTCGTGGGAATGCCTTTCCCTGGATATGTGAGCAGTTTTCTGTGTGAAGGTCTTCACTATTACAATGCTGGTGTTGGTTAGTGGTTAGTGGGCTTCAGCATGATGTAGAAACGATACAACTCAACTCTCAACATATTTATCTGTTTTAGACTTTAGTTGAGGTGAATACGTGGTTGCATAATCCTGAGAAAGAAGTATTGACAGAAATGAAGTCGGGGTCAATATAGCTTTTCAGGTCCGTTATGCTATTAACCATATAATTCTTAATAGAAGTCCATAATGTTGTTATACTAGATGTGAAATTATGCTGTTTTTATCATTATAAACAAGGTGCTATATATGACAATTATAATATATAATGTAATATTATACTGTTATGGACTTCGGTGATGGTAAAAAATGATGTGAAGGAACCCTGAATGGGTATTTTGAAAGAGACAAATCTAAGTTCATTTTAACATTTTTGGGTTCATATCACATCATATTTACCATCACAAAAGTCCATAACTGTTTTAATATATTCTTTAACAATAAGTCTTTCTTTAAAAACTCTAAAGATTTTTACAATGGGATGATGGATCCAGGCTTCTGCAACATTATATTGTAGGTTTCCAATTACACAACTCAGCTTAAGTGCAATTTTTTAATGTTTTTTTTTTATCTTAAATGTTAACCAAACAGATAATAAACATTTAATTTAAAAACAAAATGCATTTTAAATATTCATTTATCAAACAACTTTATTAAATGCAAAAGAGAAGGAAATTCACCTGAAGGCTTTATTTAGAGATTTATATTCACCTGAAAAGTTGACAGTGTATAGGATACAACCAATAGGATTACAAGAAATTGTCAAGTACATATATATGCCGGTAGTAATGTTGTTAAAATTCTCTCTCTACTCTTGATTCATTCTGTAATCATTTACTACTGGACAACAAAGATCTGTGGGTCAAAGGTTGTGATACTGGACCAAATATTTCAGGTGTTCGTGTTAAAGGAGAAATTAAAGAACGTCCTTGTGGTGTTGCGATTCCTTTATTTCTCCAGTATGTTTTATTAATAAGGAGCTCTATAGAATCCACTGACACAGATCCACCGCAGAATTCTAGGGGCACAGGTGGAACAACAAGACCACAGAATTCTGGGGGCACAGGTGGTACAACTAGACCACAGAATTCTGGGGGCACAGGTGGTACAACTAGACTACAGAATTCTGGGGGCACAGGTGGTACAACTAGACCACAGAATTCTGGGGGCACAGGTGGTACAACTAGACCACAGAATTCTGGGGGCACAGGTGGTACAACTAGACCACAGAATTCTGGGGGCACAGGTGGTACAACTAGACCACAGAATTCTGGGGGCACAGGTGGTACAACTAGACCACAGAATTCTGGGGGCACAGGTGGTACAACTAGACCACAGAATTCTGGGGGCAAAGGTGGAACAACTAGACCCCAAACCTCCGGGGCACAGGTGGTACAACTAGACCACAGAATTATGGGGGCACAGGTGGTACAACTAGACCACAAACCTTCAGGATACAGGTAGTACAACTGGACCACAAACCTCCGGGTGCACAAAGCAAAAATACTTCTGATGCTGCTATAAATTAAAGCTTTGCCTTTGTAAAAGCTATTATGGAACTTACCTTTGGAGGGATCACTTGTACTCTGGGATACAGTTGACATTCACAGAATTCCTACTGAATTTACAGTCGACTCGTTGTAAACCAGATCCAGTTCCTGCCTAGTGTGGGATGCTTTATATTTTCCAAAGTATAAGGGCCCCACATCATCAGAGAGGTGGGTGTCCTATACTCATCACAGTGTTCATCTGTCCATCCATCCACACTTTCATTTTTTGGAGATTATCTCAGAATCCAAAAGACAATCCTTTTTGAAATTTGGCATGTGATACACTGTGATATGTAGATGTGCAACAGGGCTTAAAAATGTTCTCAGGTCAATGTCAAGGTCACTGTTACTAAAAATACATCATAGGGAGGGTACAGTCCTTGTTTTGGAATCAAAACGACTAATCATTTTAAGTTTGAAATGGTGATACACTGTGATATGTTGATGTGAAATTGGGGTTTAAAATGTTCCAAAGTCAAGGTCACTGTTACTACAAATTGATGATCAAGCACATGGGGGAGCCCTTGTTGACCTGTCAGTGTTCAAATTTTCAGTGATATTATCAAAGCAGAAAGTGATGATAAACCACAGTTTTACTTGAACAGTATGTTGTTTATTTTCAGTTGTCATGGAGATGATGATATAGCGACAACACCGGAGTCACGTAACATTGAATCAGATCCCACAACTCACGTTACAGGCATTCCAAGCGATATTATCAGCGACTCAAGCAATACGGCCGAGAACTCCGTTAATTTATCTGGCACCTCCAGGGATACGGCTGAGAACTCCATTAATTTGACTGGCACCTCCAGTGATACGACCGTTGACTCCATTAATCTGACCAGCACCTCCAGGGACATGACCAGTGACTCCATTAATTTGACAGGGGACTCCATCAATTTGATTGCCTCCAGCGACATGACCGGTGACTCCATTAATTTGACAGGGGACTCCGTTAATTTGACAGGGGACTCCATTAATTTGACAGGGGACTCCATTAATTTGGTTGCCTCCAGTGACATGCCTGGTGACTCCAGCATAGTAGATGTAGAAGGATGAGGAATAGGAAGCTTTTACAGAAGGATCCTTATTCAAGTTGTCAAGGAAACAGGAAAGCTGCTATACAATAATGTTCATTGACATTAAGTTTTGTCAGATTTTATCTTTTGTTTAAAATTTATTTATTTGAATTACAGAATGTTTTAAAGAATATTATTGATTTATGCATTAAGACTAATAATGATGTTGATAGATATTGTAAAATATATCTTGGTTATTATGTTACTTTGATCCTTTTATTACTACCTTGCTGTAGAGAAAACACTCATTTATGTTGTCTTATACCCAGGTATATGGTTTCCAACATTTGAGGGAATGCTCCTTTTTTAGGGTCAACCTGTCCCAGCATATGACTGCCTATTATTATACATTTCTGTGTGTTTTACCCATTTGTCATGAAATCATAACTAATTGTTTCAGTGTGTAACTAGGTCTGTCATAGATTGTAAGTGATCATACCTGTATCTGGCCAAGTCTGTCAGATTGTAAGTGATCATACCTGTTCTGGCCATGTCTGTCAGATTGTAAGTGATCATACCTGTATCTGGCCAAGTCTCTCAGATTGTAATTGATCATACCTGTATCCTGGCCAAGTCTGTCAGATTGTAAATGATCATACCTGTATCTGGCCAAGTTTGTCAGATTGTAATTGATCATACCTGTACCTGGCCAAGTCTGTCAGATTGTAAATGATCATGCCTGTATCTGGCCAAGTCTGTCAGATTGGAAGTGATCATACCTGTTCTGGCCATGTCTGTCAGATTGTAATTGATCATACCTGTATCTGGCCAAGTCTGTCAGATTGTAATTGATCATACCTGTATCTGGCCAAGTCTTTTAAAATTGTAAGTGATTATTCTTGTGTGTGACCAAGTCTGTCATAGATTGTTAGTGACCATACCTGTCTGTGGACAAGTCTGTCACAGATTGTAATTGAGCATACCTGTGTGTGACCAAGTCTGTCATAGATTGTTAGTGACCCTACCTGTCTGTGGCCAAGTCTGTCACAGATTGTATTTGAGCATACCTGTGTGTGACCAAGTCTGTCATAGATTGTTAGTGACCCTACCTGTCTGTGGCCAAGTCTGTCACAGATTGTAATTGAGCATACCTGTGTGTGACCAAGTCTGTCATAGATTGTTAGTGACCATACATATGTGTGGCCAAGTCTGTCATATATTGTTAGTGATCATACCTGTATGCGGCCAACCAGGCCCTACTAGGCCACATATCAAGTTTACTGGTAAGTGTTTCTGACAACAAGGCCCTACTAGGCCAAATATCAAGTTTACCGGTAAGTGTTTCTGACAACCAGGGCCTAATAGGCCAAATATCAAGTTTACTGGTAAGTGTTTCTGACAACCAGGCCCTACTAGGCCAAATATCAAGTTTACTGGTAAGTGTTTCTGACACACAGGTCCTACTAGGCCACATATCAAGTTTACCGATAAGTGTTTCTGACAACCAGGCCCTACTAGGCCATATATCAAGTTTACTGGTAAGTGTTTCTGACAACCAGGCCCTACTAGGCCACATATCAAGTTTACCGGTAAGACCAACTTATTAGGTGATTCTTCAATGTCTGATTTTTTGTTTGTATGACTTTATTTTTGCTGTTATAAATGTCATAAGCGCGAAGAGACTATCATAACAATATTTTTAGTATCATAATAAGGCTGCCAGAGTTACAGCCCTTGGTTCTGTTATTAGCTAGTATGTAAGAAAAAACAGGTAGTTATCTTTAATTATTTAAGACTTTTAGTAAAGTTTGGTTAAGTAAACTTGTTTGAGTTTAAAAGTATCTGGTTTTATCCTTGAAACACAAGCTATAGATGCTTTACGTATGAAAATAAATTGTCAGTGGTTTACCTTAGTGATTAGTGCTATAGCCCAAGGGACATAACTCATGCCACTTGGAATAAAATCTCACTGTTATTAGTGCTTAATGATTCATCAGATGACATGATCTTATACAGAGTCTGTAAATCAGGATTGATTTGTTTGTATCATTTTGTTGATGTCTGAATGTGTTGTTGTTTACTAAAGGATCTTAATTCCTTCTGTAACCGTTTGATTGTATGACTGTAAGAAATATGTCGAGTTATGGTTAACCTATATAGCTCATCAATTAGTAGATCTTACCGAAAATGTAATTATTTTGTGAACTATTCAATTTGTTTTTGTCAATTCCGTTGTTATATATTAGTCTTACTGTTTATTTGATGATCTTTTCAGTCTCCTAAATGCGTTTTTTGTTAATACACAATAAATATGCAATTAAACTATGTATATTATCTATAATGACATTTTGTCTCGTTACATTTAGTAAAATCATAACATTTTCTTGAATATGAAGTTCTTCACCGCTGATGAGATAAAAGACGACCAATAACAAAATGATATATATTGTACTTTAAATCAAGCCATTATGGTTTTTATGGTCACATTTTACTACCCCAACAATGTTTAACCTGACCAGATGGTGTGTCGCGAAACTCCGTCAGGTCTTTATCTTAAAAGTAAAAGTTAGAGCAGGGGTCGAAGATGAGATCATTGTATTGAACCCTTATCCAGACCATAATATAAATTAAGTCTATCTTCTCTTTTGTTTTTTCTCTCTTTGGAACATGGTTTTGTGTAACATAGGTCAATATCCCTTAAAGTCAAGGTTATGACAATGTTTTCAAAAAGAAAATTGTAACAAAACATTTGTAATGATTTTCTATTCACATTTCTTAGGAATCTTTGATTGAAGTGCCTAGCATGATTAGAGTGTTTGACATTCTAAAATATTTTATACATGTGCAGCATCTTTTTCTCACTTAAATCATAAGCTAAGTAAATACATTTTTATGTTAAATATCTAAACAAATTGATGAGTTAATTAATGGTATTTCTAATCAATTTAATTAATGACACTTTCATCCAGGAATTTAATTAATGAGATTTTAATTGAAAAGGTTGATTAAGAGCATGAAATATTTTAATTGATAAGTTTAATTAAGGTCACTAAAGTTGCTAATTTTTTAAATAATTTTCACAAAAGAATGTGAAAAACTGAATGTTTATTATTAAAACAACTATCAGCTGGGTAATCTGTAATTTGCAAGAGACAGATATAACTCTACCAACAGTACATGCATTACTTCCCTTTAAACCTCATTTCTTTTAATGACAAAACTTTACGAAAGCATTTCTGTGCACAAATACCTCACATAACTTTATGTTTTGTGGTCTTGGATCGATGGTCACTGGTCCAATAAATAGCAAATAACTGTGACTGCTTAACTGGCTTCATTTTTGTTCTGATTTTGTACAAAAATACTTCATAGGATTTAAATTTCAGGATTATTTTTCTTCTGAATTCAGATTTGAGGATCTAGTATGGTCACTGTTCTATAAACTAGGTTAATTTCTTTTCTATTCTGATTTTATTTTATTTTTGTGAAATTACCATTGCAAGGCAACTGAGTGAAATTGACCCATCATTATCTAAAGGGAGGTAACCTGTACAGTTAAAAATTAACTGCCAGTAAGAGGGAATAGTATTCATATTTTAAAGTTTTGTGAAATTCAATGTGAAAAGAAAAGTGTGGACTTATTAACATCAAAAGCCAGTTTTTTGGTGTTTTTTTAAGTTGAAACTAAAATTGTAATTCAGTTGTGACTGATATATATATCAAACACATTGCTTATATTTCCTTTAGATTTCAGCAATCAATACAGGAGAAATAGTGACTTATGACCAAGCAGAATTTCCATTTAGATGTAAAATGAATGTAAATTAAATTTGGTATAAACTCATTAAAGGCGTAGTGGAAGTGCTTATATTTTTACTGAGAATGGCATGCTCTGTAGTTTGGACTCTTTAGTCCATGAATACAGAATTATTTTCCTGAGCAGCTAAAGATTCAGAAAAAATTACATTTCAGTTGTTCCCATTTCTTTGTGATTTAATTTGAAAGTGTGATCATAATAAAGAGTAATTATCTGATTTAGAAGTAAAACTGATGACGTAATCCACTGGTGTTTTTTTTTTTTACTATTGAGGAATGTTTTTACTCCGGGCCAATACTTGATCAATAGAGGCCAAGACTTGATCAATAGAGGCCAACACTTGATCAATCGAGGCCAACACTAGATCATTATAGGTCAACACTTGATCATTTGGAGACAACACTTGATCAATAGAGGCCAACACTTGATCATTAGATGCCAACACTTGATCAATAGAGGCCAACACTAGATCATTATGGGTCAACACTTGATCATTAGGGGCCAACACTAGATCAATAGAGGCCAACACTTGATCAATAGAGGCCAACACAAGATCATTATAGGTCAACACTTGATCATTAGGGGCCAACACTTGATCAATAGAGGCCAACACTTGATCATAGGAGGCCAACACTTGATCATTAGAGGCCAACACTTGATTAATAAGGTCAACACTTGATCATTAGAGGTTAATACTTGATCAGTAGAGGCCAACACTTGATCAATAGAGGCCCACACCTGATCAATAGAGGCCAACACTTGACCAATGGAGGCCAACACTTGATCAAAAGAGGCCAACACTTGATCATTATAGGTCAACACTTGATCATAAGGGCCAACACTTGATCAATAGAGGCCAACACTTGATCATA